GGGACTGGGATCAGGATCAGGGCAGGGTCAGGATCAGGATCAGGCTAGGAATTGGGATCAGGATCAGGATTGGGATCAGGATCAGGGCAAGATCAGCATCAGGGCAGGATCAGGGTCAGGATTGGGACTGGGATCAGGATCACGATTGGGATCAGGGTCAGGATCGGGATCAGGGTCAGGATTGGGGCTGGGATTGGGATCGGCTCCAGTGCTGGGAGCTCTGGGAGGGGCCCAGCCCCGATCCCAACCCCAGTCCTGGTCCTGATCCCGGTTCTGATCCCCCCTCCCCATATGGGTCCTGATCCCAAATCCCTGCCCTGATCCCAAATCCCTGCCCTGATCCCAGTCCTGGTCCCGATCTGGGATCCCAAACCCTGCCCTGATCCCTGCTCTGATCCTGGTCCCAATCCCAGCCCCAATCCCGCTGGAATTCCCAGCCCCACCCCTTCCCTTTCCCCCGATTTCCTTTTTCCTATTTCTGTTTCTTCCCACCATTTTTCAATTCCTCTCACTTTTAACCTTTTCTCCCCTTCCCCCCCCTCCAAATCTTCTTTTTCTTTTCCTTCATCCCTCCCCTTTTTCCCCACTTCATCTTTCTCCCAATCTCCTTTTTTCCTCAAATTTTCCCACTTTTCTTCCCTGAACCTTCCTCCCAACCTTTTCTTTCCCCTTCCAACCATTCCCCCATTTTTAAATTTTTTTCCTCCATTCCCTCCCTAATTTTTCTCATTTTCCCTCCAATTTTCCCCCATTTTCCCTCCAATTTTTCCCCCATTTTTTCCCCGTTTTTCCTCCAATTTTTCCCCCATTTTTCCCCCATTTTTCCCCACGCTTTCCCCACATTTTCCCCCCACTCTCCCCGTATTTTCCCCGTTTTTTCCCCGTTTTTCCCCCCCTCACCTGGCCGTTAAAACCTCCTCCCTCCTCCGTAGCTGCCGCCGCCGCTGGAGCTGCCGTAACCGCCTGCAAACCCGGGGGGGCGATTTAGGGACACCCCAAAATCGGGGGGCACAAATTTGGGGACCCCCCCTCCCCCTCCAGGGACACAAGACCCCTGCCAGGACATTCTGGGGTCCCCCCCAGTTTATTTTGGGGTCTCCCCAGCACATTTTGAGACCCCCCCCCCCCAAAAAACATTTTAAATTCTTCTCAAGGTGATTTCTGGGCTCTCACAGGTGACTTTGGGGTCCCCCCATGGGATTTTGGGGTGTCCCCAGCACATTTTGGGGTCCCCCAGGTGGTTTCTGGGGGTTCCCCATGTCATTTTTGGGGTTCCCCAGGTGGGTTTTGGGGTCTCACCGCCGCCTAGGGCCCCGAGCTGTGGCCCCCAATATATTTGGGGATATTTTGGGGTTCTCTAGGTGATCTTTGGGTGGGTTTCAGGGTGGTTTTGGGGTGTTTTTGGGTGGGTTTT